ACCCAGGAGGCAGAGGTTGCGGTGAGCCGAGATCGCGCCATTGCACTCCAGCCTGGGTAACAAGAGCAAAACTCTGTCTCAAAAAAAAAAAAAAAAAGTTGAAGCCTCTTTCATATGCAAACCAGGCTCTTTCATGAACTATATCTTAACCTTTAGAGTGCATAGGGATTTGTATTTCTGAACAATTAATAGGAAGACAGATACAATGATAATTAATTTAGAAAATATTCTTCAGCCACTAATGTATTATAAGTGGTAGGTAACTGATGTTCCATAAAAGTCTCATTAATTAATAAAACTCACTAAACCTTATGACCTTGACCTCTGAAATTGTCTTAACCATAGCTTCTAGTGCCAACCAGAGTCTATACATTTCATATGTCAAATGTTAATATTCTTGTATAATTGTGAAATTTAAGAAAATAGGCCAGGCGCAGTGGCTCACATCTGTAATCCCAGCCCTTTGGGAGGCCGAGCCAGAGATCAGGAGTTTGAGACCAGCCTGACCAACATGAAGAAACCCCGTCTCTATTAAAAATTAGCCAGCATGGTGGTGTATGCCTTAATCCTGGCTAGTTGGGAGGCTGAGGCAGGAGAATCACTTGAAGCCGGGAGACGGAGGTTGCAGTGAGCCAAGATTGCACCACTGCGCTCTAGCGTGGGCAACAGAGTGAAACTCTGTCTCAAAAAAAAGAAAAGAATTGGCATTTAATGAGTTTTTAATCACCTTTTCAAGCAAGAAAGTGGCCAAATGCAAGATATATTATATTAATCCTTTCAGTTTTTTCAATATGTGTATTGTTATAGTTCCTGAAGAGTTCTTGTACAACCCTTTGACCAGAGTTTATGGAGAACCTCACAGAAGACCTGAAGTTCAAAATGCTACTATTGAGTTTATGGCTCCTTCAGAATACATGGTAAACTTTAATTTTTTAATACAGTATACCCAGTTTTTATTACCAGGTTTTAAGTAAAACAATATGACATCCTTTAACAAAATTTTATTTTTTAATTTTTTTTTTGAGACACAGTCTCACTCCCATTGCCCATGCTGAGTGCAGTGGCATGATCACGGCTTGCTGCAGCCTCAACCTCCCACAATCAAGTGATCTCCCACCTCAGCCTCCTGAGTAGCTGGGGCTATAGGCATGTACTACCACACCTGGCTTATTTTTAGTAGAGACAGGGTTTTGTCATGTTGCCCAGACTGGTCTCGAACTCCTGGGCTTGAGTGATCTGCCCATCTTGGCCTCCCAAAGTGCTGGGATTATAAGCGTGAACCACTGTGCCCAGCAAAAATTTTATGTTTTTAAATGTATAAAAGTATAATATTTGTTTACTAGTAATTAGTATGTAAGGGTATATTTGAAAGGTAAAGGTTTATGTAAAGTCCCATTTAAATGTTTTCTGTGACATTCAGAAATTTCCAAAATAATATTGGGCTCATAATTACTTTTTTTAAAAAAAATGACAAGAGTCTAGCTCTGTCTCCCAGTCTGGAGTGTAGTGGTGCGATCTTGGCTCACTGCACCTCCACCTCCCAGGTTCAAGTGATTTTCTTGCCTCAGCCTCCCAAGTAGCTGGGATTACAGGCACGCACCACCACACCCGGCTAATTTTTGTATTTTTAGTAAAGATGGGGTTTCAACATGTTGGTCAGGCTAGTCTCGAACTCCTGACCTTGTGATCTGCCTGCCTCAGCCAGCCAGAGTGCTTGGATTACAGGCAGGAGCTACAGCACCTGGCCAAAATACACTAAAATAAGGCTAGCCGTTGTGGTCACACCACGGTTGCTTTAGTGACAGAGCAAGATCTCCATCTCATGTTGGGAGGCTGAGGCAGGCGGATCACGAGGTCAGGATCATACCTGTAATCCCAGCTATTCAGGAGGCTGAGGCAGGAGAATCGTTTGACCTGGTAGCTGGAGTTGCAGCGAGCTGAGATTGCACCACTGCACTCCAGCCTTGGCAACAGAGCAAGACTCTGTCTCAAAAAAAAAAAAGAAAAGAAAAGAAAACATTTTGTTGCCCTTAAGTGGACTTAACTGATTGGTAATAGCCATCTGCAGAGTAACTGTTTTGTTTTGTTTTGTTTTTTAAGATGGGGTTTCACCATGATGGCCAGGCTGGTCTTGAACTCCTGACCTCAGGTGATCCACCCACCTTGGCCTCCCAAAGTGCTAGGATTACAGGCATGAGCCACTGCGTCTGACCGAGTACCTGTTTTTTAATTAGATTCAAACCAAACAAAAAAAAAAAACAGAAGCACCTATTCTTTTGAATTTACCTGTCTAATTTCCCTTTATCGCCCAAGTTTTGCAAAAATTGCTTCCTTTAAATTTAGAAACTATTGCAGAAGGTTTTTGCTCCTTTCTGGCTTATCTCTTGACAGGCAGATTATGTGAATTTGGTAAGTGATACATGCAAAAGTATATAAAAATACAGTTGACTCTGTATCTACGGGTTCTGCATCCATGGATTCAACTACCCATGGATTGAAAATGTTCAGAAAAACACAGTGAACGATATTATAGGATAGATGCGGTGGCTCATACCTATAATCCCAGCACTTTGGGAAGCCAAGGGAGGAGGATTGCGTGAAGCCAACAGTTTGAGACCAGCCTGGGCAACATAGTGAGACCCCATCTCTATAAAAATTTTAGGAATGGTGGTGTGTGCTTACAGTCCCAGGTACTTGGGAGACTGAGGTGGAGGAATCGTTTGAGCCCAGGAGCTCAAGGCTGCAGTGAGCTATGATTGCATCACTGTACTCCAGCCTGGGTGACAAAGTGAGACGTTTTCTTTAAAAATATATATACATAAACTTTAATATACAGTATAGCAACTATTTATATAGCATTTATGTTGTATTAGGTATTATTTTCAAAACCTAGAGATGATTTAAAGTATACAGAATGATGTGTGTAGGTTATATGCAAATAATATACCATGGCATGTAAGGAATTGAGCATCCTTAGATTTGGTATTTGAGGTGGGAGATCATGAACTAATCTCTTGCAGATACCAAGGGAAGACTGTATACTACATACCCAGTTGTGATTGTGGCTATTTGATGCTTTTTATTGAACTGAAAACAAATCTTTGGATTTGGAAATTTAAAATACAGTCTTGGCCAGACACGGTGGCTCACGCCCGTAATCCCAGCACTTTGGGAGGCTGAAGCGGGTGGATCACCTGAGGTCAGGAGTTCAAGACTAGCCTGGCCAACATGGTGAAACCCCATCACTACTAAAAATACAAAAATTAGCCAGGCATGATGGTGTGCACCTGTAATCCCAGTTACTCAGGAAGCTGAGGCAGGAGAATCCTGTCCCAGAAGGTGGAGATTGCAGTGAGCTGAGATCGTGCTACTGCACTCCAGCCTGGGGGACAAGATGAGACTCTGTCTTTAAAAAAAAAAAAAAAAATCTGAGTCATGACACCAAGAAAAAAAATGGTCTTACATTTTTATGGGATTTGGCTATAATTTGATGGTTAAATAACCAGATGAAGCTAACTTGGAACTTTCAGAGCTGTAATTTTTCGAAATTGTGAAATCCAACACACATATAGAAAAATCAATAAAACGTAAATATTCAGGTTACTGAATCATTATAAACTAAACACTTTTGTTAGTATTGCCTAAGCCAAGAAATTCAACCTTGCTAATAATACCAGAAGCCCCCCACCGCCTTTTTTTTTTTTTTTTTTTTTTTTTTTTTTTTTTTTTGAGATAGAGTCTTTTTTTGTCACCCAGGCTGGAGTGCAGTGGCATGATCTCGGATCACCGTAACCTCTGCCTCCCTGGTTCAAGCGATTCTCCTGAGAGCCTCAGCCTCCCAAGCAGCTGGAACTACAGGCACCCACCACCACACCCGGCTACTTTTTGTATTTTTAGTAGAGACGAGGTTTTGTCATGTTGGTCAGGCTGATCTCAAACTTCTGACCTCAGGTGAGCCGCCCACCTCTGCCTCCCAAATTGCTGGGATTATAGGCTTGAGCCACCACACCCGGCCAGAAACCATTCTGATCACACCTCTTCCCGCTCTTGTCCTAGAGAAAACACTATTCTGAATTATGGCAATCACAGCTCATTTTTCTTATATGTATATATCTATAAACAATATAGTGTAGCTTTGCCTTTTTATTATAATCTATACTCAATTTGTAAATGATGCTTTTTAAATTGTTTTGCTGTATGTGTACCCAGCAAATAAGTTTAAACTTAATCCTGTTAAATGTACTTAACAAGATCTTTTTCTCTTCAGTTACGACCACCTCAACCTCCAGTGTATCTCTTTGTATTTGATGTGTCTCACAATGCAGTCGAAACTGGATACTTGAATTCAGTTTGCAAGAGTTTGTTAGACAATCTGGATTTGTAAGTTTCTCAATTCAACTTAAATTTGAAACTAGTAATATTTTCTAAATGAATAAGTAGTTTTTGAAATCCAAAAAAAAGAAAGCTGTATAATTATTTTCTAACACTTCACCTAAATCAGTTGTCAATTTAGGCCTTATTTCCTCTTAGAAACGTTATTTTTAAACCTATAGTTGGTAGGAAGAATAATATAATGAACCTCCAGGCACCTGTCATCACCCAGCTTCATCATCATCAGCATTCTGCTGTTCTTGCTCCATGTAATCCTTCCCCTTCACACACATACCTTTTCTTACCTTGAGTATTTTAAAGCAAATTTCAGCCAGCATACTGTTTTACCTATACATATTTCAAGAGTAACTTTTATACCTAAACATAATACTAAAGCATCAAGAAAATTAGCAGTAATTCCATATATGATCTAATACCCAGCTTATTTTTTGTTCTTAGTTGTCTCAAAATTGTCTTTTTACGGCCGGGCGCGGTGGCTCAAGCCTGTAATCCCAGCACTTTGGGAGGCCGAGGCGGGTGGATCACGAGGTCAAGAGATCGAGACCATCCTGGTCAATATGGTGAAACCCCGTCTCTACTAAAAATACAAAAAATTAGCTGGGCATGGTGGCACGTGTCTGTA